TTTTTTTGTTATTATTGGTAATCTTTCACTGTTTACTTACGTGCTAGCCAGCAAGCATCCTTTTTTTCTCTCTCTTTTTTTTTTTTTTCTTTTTTATTCCTGTGGAGTCTGTTACATAGTTTATGCACTGCACCAACCACACTTGGAGTACACAAAGCAATTATTTATCTCTGTGATTCAACAAAGACAGCAACCGTAGTTTCTTAAGAAACCGGTAGTTTCTTAAGCTAGAGACGTGCCTATTTTGAACTGAACTATCATCCCTTCATTCACACACTTTATGAAATAGGCAGCATTTGATGTTCACCTGGGGAACACCGGTGAGAGCACCTGGCCTTCACCCCATGAGCTGCCCCACAGCTGGGGGGCACAGACACGAGATGAAGAGGGTCAGGGTAAGTTTCCCCTTGCAATACTCTTTGTGGACCTGAGCCCATCATGCTGGATGGTTATAAAGAAAACACATACCAAGGGCTTTCTCTGGGTGTTGAAAAGCTAACGAGGCTACAGTGACAGATTTGAAGCAAAGCAGCTAGGTTTTGTTGTTGTTTTTCAGCCTGTGCTGGGTCAGCTCTTAGAGAGAACCAACACCTCCCCAGCCAAGACATGGTTTCTGCTACTACTGCCGTGCTCCAGCTCTCAGGAAAAGGGCTGCTGCTGTACCACTGCTGAGTTTACAGTATGCCAGTGACCAAGCTAGTAGCAAAGAGCATCATTATCCACTCCTTTGCTGCCAGAGGAATGATGAGCCATTACATGATTTCCCATTATATAATAATGATGGAGGCAATTTGCACTTTTGCTCACATGCCTCGCTTACGTGAGCCTTTGGTTTCACTTGAAAGTGATTTGGGGAAAACTTGTATCTAGCTTAATATTCTTCCAGATAATAAATTAAGCTCCTAAATTAGCATGTCTCTATAGAAACAGCTGAAAGAGAAATATTAAATTAAAAAAAGCAATTTTCTTTATGATGTGATGATTTAGCAAGGATTTCATTCTGCCATATGAATTACAGCCTGCTGCTTGTTCAGCTTATTATAATAAATATTTGAGAATCAACCTTTTGATCTGTATTTTTCAAACCCATTGGTTGACCATTGTTGGAAGTAATCATCAAGTGATTTGTATCCTCTCAGCCCTGAGACAGGGGTTTGGCATAGGGCTTCAAAAACTTAATTAGAAACATTGCTATCTGCCATGTTTTATAGCCTTAGATACAGAGCAGAGCAAAGATATGTGGAGAGAAAAAGCTACTTTTTGAAACCAGCCTTGAAACTAGAGAAAGGTCTTTGTTTTAAAGAAGCATGAAAAATAAATATGGGGTAGAAAAACGTGGAGGAAACTTGAAATGTTATTTTCCTTATAGTTAACGAGTTAATCATGAGATGTTTCAGCACCCCACTCTATATCCACTTCTCACCCTTCAGTGTCCTTCCCCATAGGTGCTGGCTCTTTCCTAGCTTAGATGATCATCTTCCTGACCTTGCCCTGGCAACTCGTCAAGGGTTTGATGATTTTTTCCCCCTTTTTCCCCATTTCAGGGTTTTGCCTTAATTTCTGTTATCCAAGTGTCGATTCTGAGGCATTATGGCAAAGGATAAATTCCAAAGAGGCAGCTGGCAAGCCAACACCCTCCCTGGATGCAGCACCCATGAGACAGAAATTTGTCTAGCACCAAGTTGGTTCCCTTTTACAAAGCATGGACAGAAGCGAGGAACCATCGTGCACACTCAGCAGAAATGCTGTCAGCAGGATTTATTAGGTGATCACAAACTCTTAAAAATATGCATAGGAGAGAAATGCAAACGACCCTCCACTGCAACAGCACCAGTTTGTGGTGGCACCAAGGCATCCCTGACAGCTCTTGGTCTGCTCCCAGCTTCTCCTGCAGCAGGATACCCCCAGAGCTCAGGATTGCCCTTGCTTCCTGCTCACTCCTCCCCCTTTTTCCCAGATGCTCTCTGCCTTCCCACCTTTTTTTATTCACCTCTTAATTTCCCCTGCTCCTCCTGGCAATTTTCTCTCCCCTTTTTGACTTCCACCTCCCTTTTTAATCTCCATCTTCAGCCCCTTCTGCTTAACTCCCCTTCTCCTGTTTTATTTTCTCCTACAAATAAGCAATGCCAGGCCCTCCCAAATTCCATACAGCAATAAATAAATAGGAGTTTGTTATATGCGAAGAATTATTTTTTTACCTATTTATTTCATAACTCAATTTTCTGCCTCCGGTGCATTCCCATGTCGCTGTCTCTTAGCAAAATATTTCCTGTAGAAGTCGCTTTCATTGTCTAGGCTTCCTAGGTGATATTTCTTATCAATTATATAATAAATTAAGTCTCTGACGGTGTTACTTAAATGGAGTTCACACTGATGGTGATGCCTGAAGAATCTAATAGAAGTCAATCCATCATGGGGCTGTTCAGGTTGTTCCCTTTAGCTGGAAAAATCAAAGGATTGGTTTAACACTCAGAATTTCTGAATATATCCTAAAGGAAAATGTGGAAAAGAGTGGAAATGATAAAATTAGCATCCTGCTTAATAGAAACTTCAGAAAAGTCTGAGATTTGCCTCAAGATTAATCACAGTATTCTTCACAGTCTTCTTCATAAAAATCTCATTTTTCCTATCGGCAGCCAAGCCAAAGTCTCTTAAAGAGAAATAAAAAGTAATTGTGTTAGAAAGGTGATGTCACCACATTCATCATGAGAGATTAATGCTACCCGTATTTCTTTCTTTTTTTTTTATATATATATTTTTTTTATTTCCAAGGAATGTGCTCCACAGCTGCACCTGTAGTCGGTCAGATGCGTGTTAGCTAAATTTATGTATCTGTGCTTTTTCCCAACTTACCTCTGTGATGGTTTCCCCGTTCGCAGGCTGTAAATATCTGTGACAGTCACTGAACCTTGCCGTGGTGAAGCACTTGATATAGTGAAATGTTCTCAAGACAAAAAGCAGTTTGCTCCAGAAATGTTTTTCCACACTTTTTCAGGAGACAAGGTTGTCTGAAAAGCCCAACTCCTTCTGCAACAGCACAGCACTGCTCTGCCCACACCTCCGCCGTTGCAGTTGATGTCAAATATATATGTACGTATGTGTTACATGAAATAACTCGTATGACAGAGCCATTTATCCCAGCAGGAGACTCTCCCTGGCTAATGATGCTACCAGAGACTCAGGATGTACAGTTGTACCCTCTCTGTTGCATTTTTGGGTGCTCCTCTTGTCCCACTGCTCGATCCCCAGGCAGGAGGTCTGGGAGAGGACCGCAGGGGCTTAGAGGCACCTCGCTGGCTGGGGTGCACGGTTCTTACAGCAGGGAGCAAAGTCAGCTTAACAGAGTGCTTTAGAAGGGTTTTGTGACAAAAAATGGTTTGGAGAATACACTTTAAGTACGTTGATGAGTACCAAGCAGACCAAGCTTGGCTTCCCCCAGCTCCAGCAGACAGAGCAGTTAGTCTGCTAGGCAGCTGCAGCGCACAGTTTATCACCACGTAGCAAACTTAACCTCTGCTCAGCAGACCCCAGGACTTGGCCATAATATTCAGTGAATTACCTCCGAGTCCAGGCTCAGCAGAGCGATGCGACAGACTGCTATGATGTCTGGCCCGCGGATAAGTACGAGACTTCAGCACACAGCACTTCTGGTCCTCAATCTTCACAGGCAGGAAAATCATCCCGCCATTTAGAGAAAATAAAGGCCATTTCTGTGATAGAAAAAGAAAAAAAAAAAGCATAAAAAAAAAAAAAAAAACAACAAACAAAAAATGATATAATCAGAGCATACTATGTATTAAAGGGATGCGCTGAAAATATCACTTAAGAGAAAATGAGTTTAGTAAAAGTAATATATAAAATTAATGCTTGGCTATTAGAGCAACTGATGTAAACCATCACCTAAGGGAAGAAAATCTTTATCGTCATTTTGGTGTTTTATTCACTAGCATCATACAAATGGCACAAGGCCCACGAGAAATCCTTTCACTTACCTCCGGGCATTTTTCAAAGCACAGCTGCTGCCCTCATAGAGCGGCAGTGCTTGCTGTGTCAGCCCCTATTTCACCCCCTGGTTAAGCACCAGCCACCCTCGTAAGCACCACCAGGGAGGCTCAGCACAGCTGCTCGTGCTGCTGGAGCTGCCTCGTGCAGCAGAGCCCTGCTGAACGGGGCACTCCCAGTGCATCCATGGGGTGAGCACTGCTGCCAGCCATGGCTCGGGATGGCTCTGCCTCTGTTCCCTCCTTCCCGGCAAGCCAGGGCACCAGCCAGGCTTTACCTGCACCGAAATCACAGGAAAGCTGAGTGAAGACCCAGTGATGACATGTTTTAAGCCTTATTATTCTGACTTTGTAACCTGGGTCATCTTTTATTTCTTGGGTTTCTTTCAAGCTGCTAAAAATTCACAGAAATTCCATCGTGTAGACAAGATGTGTACATATATGCACACATCTACACATGCATGCACACACACACCCACGTGCAACCATCCTGATGGACCAGGCATCCCCCCACACACACCCGTGCATGAGTTACTCAGCACCAAACCTGGAACTCTCAGGTTCATCACACGGACCGACACCACTGTGCAGCAATCAATGTGCTAATTAATGCGGTAATGAATGTAGAAATTAATGCAGAGAGGAGAAGTAAAACTTGGCAACGGGATCACAGGGAGCTGCTGGCAGCAGGGGACTGCCGAGGCTCAGCCACATACCTGAGGGCATCCCTACAGAAAACAGCAAAAGCACTCAGAAGTCTCCTCTCTGCATTCTCTGCTGCTCCTCCAGGCTCCATCGGCACAGTCTATGTTATTCTCACCAAGCCTTTCCTGCTGTTTTGGGGGGGAGATGGCGGCATGAAGAAGAGGAGGTATCAAAAGAAAGCGATTATTTCCTGTGTTTCCCATTATTTGCTTCCGATGCATTTCAAACTCAGTCCCAGGTGTGCACATCACCTGAAGCAGGAATTCTTACGTGTGATATGTAAAAAGCAGTAGGAAAAAAAAAATTCAGCACGAACATATTGCCCCTCCCAAAAAGATACCCAAAGTATACCCAAAAAGACATTTATATGTAGCAAAATCACAATATTGTATTATTTAGACAGGAAAACACGCTGCTGCGTTGCTAACATTGCTTAGCTTCCAAGAAGCAATGGTTTCTGTGAAGCGAGCTTTCCTTGGGCATGCTTTCCACAACACTGAAGTTCCCTGGAACCTCGGGTAACTTTAAAAATGAGCAAATATTTTATTGTTAAATCATTTATCTCCTCCCTTTATATTTCTCTGAAAGCCATTTAAAGGGAGCATAATGGCTGGCTATTTCTACGTGCTGAAAGCCTGCTATTCATCAAGGAGCTCTGCAAGCAGCTCAGCCAGAACACAAACGTGGACAAGCAAACCAGGCTGGTGAAGAGACTGGCACCATCTAATGACATGACAGCTATTTCAGCTGGAGCTGGGAAGACCTGTACGACGACACAGGAATAAAGACAGCCTATACCAGATTTCAGGCAAGTTTACAGGCACACAGAAGCAATCTATGGTCTGTAAGAGGTTGTTAACCAGAAAAAAAAACTATGCCTGGTGCTCAGCAATAGCAATCCTTCCAAGTTCTCCTTATCTGGAGACGATAAATGTAAAGAACTTCACCCAACCTCCATCACAATGACCAGACTTCTTCACTCTGTGTACAATTTATACAGTCTTGTAACTATCTTTCCCTTAAAAATACTCAATTATTAGGCCTTATTTAAAAACTGAAGAGCAAATAAAACCAAACCACTCACTACTTATTCATTTCCCTCAATAAAGAAGGAAAGGAATAAACCTCCAAGAGAAATCAGTGACGCTGTTTGAAGGAAAGGTTTTTAGATGCTGCAATGACAAGAAAGACGTGAGGAGAATTATATAAAGACTTGAGAATGGTGCAATAAAAGGATAATTTGCTTAATTCCATCATTACCAGAGGCAGGTGTCCTCCAGTTTAATCAGAATATCAATTTGTGCTGTTGAGTTTTTTTCCATTGCAGTAGAAAAAAAGACTATAAAAAGAGTAAAGAAGAGTTCTCTTCTGTGTTTTTCTATCTTGAGCCTACCAGCATGACCACTTTTACCTCTGGCACCCAGCATTAATAACCTCTGATTGCAGCAGCAGCTGAAACTTCCCTGCTCTGCCCCCAGGATTTCAGCAAGCTCAGGAGCTGCTCATGGTTGTTCCTGGCATCATTGGTTGGCTTGGTGCAAGCTCCTGGCTGGTTGTTGTTCTCTGTAGCTCACATTTGCAAACTTAACATTCATTTCTTGGCTTTGGATTGAAGTTCTGTAGCAAGGAATCCTAAAGACCTTTTAGAAGAAGAAATAAATAAATTATGTTGGGTGAGGTCCTGGACTCCTGCTGGCAGAAAAAATATAAGCATACATGGCAACTGAAGAAGGTCGTGCCAGGGTAGTGATGAAAAACTTTGGAATATCTTTTTGTTTTCAAGACTCTCTTCTGTAAGCTAAGGACACACTTCTGAATTCACCCATACGTGCATCAAAACCAACTTTGTCTAGCACGCTGGCTGCAGTCATTCATCAGATAGTTCAATCCCCATGCAGCCGTGCATGATCAGCCCTGAGGTGTGGAAGGGCTGCAGAGTTTGTTAAAGGGCACGGTCCTAGCACAGACTTCATCTTAAGTTTATTTTCTCTAGCCCAGTTATAAAGTGAGTGTGTTTAAACCCTTCTGTCCAAATTTTCATCTGTTGGCTCTGAGTTTTGGCAAAACGTTTATAGAATTTATCTCCATCTGTGTGATACTTCAAAGGAAAAGGTTTCCATATAGCCAATGTTAAAATAATAATAATAATAATAAAAGTTAATAAAACATTGTCTGAGTACTTTATCTATTGCTAACTTCAGTGCTGGCTTTCCTTTGCCAGCTCTGCCAGTGAGGGGAAAACTTTTAACCACAGACATTTTCTTGAGATTGCAACGGTAAGAATTAAAGGCTAGTGCAAATATTAATACCTCATCCATCCTCTGGAAGTGTTTCCTGCTCCCAGTAGGACAATTCAAGATGTATTAAGGTCCATTAGCTGCAGCTACACACTAATTTTCAATTTTTTGATGTCGCAGACCACTTTGGTGGATAACCTTTCCAAGGCTTCTCTCTCCCTTTCAGTCTCTGCAGAGCTCACGCGTAGCAATTTTGTTGGCTCTGCTAGTAAATCACACCAACTTCTGTATGGGAGAAAAAATAAGAATCATGGGATTAAGACATCCCTCCACACAGGAAGAGTTGTGGTTTCTGTTGGCTCCCACACGAGACTCTGCAGAGCCAGCTCAAACTCTCAAGGGCTTTTGTCCCACCCAGAAACCCTCTCCAGTTCCTCCCATTCAAGCTTTCAGCTTTCTCCTCCTAATTGTTTCTGATAGGTCTCCCCAATGCTATTAACATACTAAATGTTCAATATTCAAGGATGGTATACTTGCTAAGATAAGATGTCTTAAATTATTAGGTTTGTACCAAGCCCATTCATTAACAAGTTTACCAATTCAACGCTCAAAAAAGCTTTTCAGACAAGGGGCTGGGACCACGATGTTCATCAAAAATTGAGTGTATACAAGCATTGTCCAGACTCAGGAACTCCAGAGTTCCAACGTACAAGAAACCAAACCTTGTAACTCCTTGAAAACACGTGCCAGTGCTCCTGCAGCAGCAGTGTTCTTGCAGCTCTGGTGTTTTGGGCTCCGTACAGTGCTGTGCTTTCTTTGGTGGGCAGCACGGGCCTCTTGTTCACAGCACAGTGCTGCACCACCACCCCAACTCTTCTCAGTCTCTCCACCGGAGGAAATGTTCACTCTTGCATATGAGTAATAATTTAAATGCATCAAAGCAGTGTAAATAATAACGTTGGCAACATACAGAGAGGGAAAGAGTCACAAGTAAAACAGGCACAGCTCACTTCAAGCTCTGAGATCAGAGAGAGGCGTGAATTACTGGTTGCGGTTTTAATCATCCTACATAGATTCATGGCCTCTGAAACTCCAGCTTATAGCCCCTTGAGAAACCTTCTGGGTTTCTCTTTCTCTCCTCTTTTTTTTTTTTAATACACTTCCTGATGATATTCTATGAAATGAACCATCTGTCAATGGCAGACATAAGCAGTTTACGTTCCTGTTCTGTGCGCTAACAGCTCAACGTAGAGTACCACATCCCCACAGTGCTCGTGCATGGTCAAATTAAGTTGGTGAAATCACTCTCTGAAATAGTCACTTTCCAACAGTTCTGGCACCTTCACAATATAATTTCCTTTTACTTCTAATTTATATAGCTAAGAAATTTGTTTGGACTGAGATTTTAAAGCTTCCTAGTAGAGATGAATTTTGTACCCAACTTGCAAGGCCTTGGAAATAACAGGTGAGTAACTGCGGGCACGAACTTCACCCGCGGTGATTCCAGCAGCTCTGATGTGCAGTCATTTTTAGCATTGTGATTTTATTTCCTTGTACAAAAACAGCGTCCCTCAGGTAGCCACAGGAACAAACCCTCAAGAAAATACTTGGAAAGGGTTATATGTGGTGTCTAAAATTGTTCTGGAACACATTGACTCTGCTTCGCCACTTGGTTTAATTTCAAAGCCATGGTTAGGGCAGCCCATGAGTATGTGCTTTCCTGAATGACTGTCATAAAACAGACTAGAAATGTCCAGGAAAGGAATGAGGGAAAGAAAGTTATGTTCCAGAGAGGAGGATATGTCTTGTCCTGTTAGGTGAAAAGCACTTTCCACTCTGCTCTTCCTTCGCTTAAAGATTAACAGGTAAATAACATACATTTTCCTTACGCTCTTAACATACCTCTCACGCTCCTGGTATCACTGCTCTCCTTTTCTTACCTGGCACTTTAACAAATCCTGCTGGGCTATTAGGGTGCCACATCAAATCCCAATGCTCTGACACATGGGAACACGAGGAGCAGTGCCAGGCATCCCGGGGGCTCGCGGGGGACGGAGCTCCTCAGCGTGACAGCCGCCTGCCAGCACATCCCAGTGACATCCCTGCAAACACAGAGAGGTTGTGGGAAGATTACTACGGTCCTGATGAGGATTTGGTTTTGACAGAGCACCTCTGTCTAGTATTGGCACGTTGCAGAAGCGTGTGTCAGAAACGCGACGTTTGTGACATCCTCCCTGCGGCAGCGGTTGGAAAGCGCGAGCACCTTCCTGACAGAGAGCATCACAGAAGCATCCCCTTCATCAAGGTTGAGGCTTTTTTTGCAAATGGCACGTGGGTGCAGCTGCTGCACCTGTCAACCTAAAAAAAAATAAATAAATCACAGGTTCTAACCCAGTCCGGCAGCCACCACACCACAAAGGTGATGGTCTGTGCACCACGTGCCAAGGGCTGGGCTATGCTGCCTCGCCTTGCCCTGCAAGATGCACATGTGGGTACTGAGCTCTCAGCAGATTAAACCCACAGAAATCACTCTTGGTGAGATGCAGACTGTGGGCCCAGCTTTGCCCAGGCTCTGAACAATCCTAAGGTTGCTGCTGGGTCCCAAACACAACAGGTTTTGTTCCTCCTGTGATGCCACATTCAATGCCACAAGTATACCAGTTACACATCTACTACACAAGGCGAGCTGGGTGCTGGAAAACAAAAGTAACAGCAACTGGCATGTTTATGGGGCGTAAATCACTGCAGCAGCTCAGGGTTTGTAGGACCAAGGCCTGGGTTTCTGCTCTTTCAGTTCTTGTCTCTAAAGCGGGGCGAGGACGCTTCTGTGCTGTGGCACATAGCAAGAATGGATTAATTAAGGTTTCTGTAACGCTTTGAAGAGGAGGATTTCTGTACAAATGTAAAGTGGACGAGGCTGGTATTTTATAGCTCAGAGTCAAATTAAAAGCAGAGTTAAAGGAAAAGGCAGACAACAGCCTGGGAAAGAAATCGCGAAAGGTTATTTCAGCAGCAGAGTTGTTATCACTGCCTGTCCTCCCTGCTCAAAAGCTGCATTTGATCATATATTCTTCTGAATTATCTACTGCATCTCTTGAATGCTAAAGGCAGAAATAAATGCTGGGTAAATATCAGAGGGTTGATTTCAGATTACATTGATGCTTGAAGCTTGCAGTCTGTAATTCTAGCTTTCACACCAAGTATTAATTATTTAGAATTATAGGAAAAATTAATACAGGTCACTCAGAAAGCATATATGAACAAAAGCTGGAATACTCTTTTTTTCAAAAAATCCCTCTCTGGCAACTTTTACCTACAAAGGGCTTGTCAGAGTTCTTTTGCTCGCCTACAAAATTTATAGCTGTGTCTGTCTCCTGCTTATGAGGCAGAGCTGCTTGTTCATCGTGCGTGCAGCAGGGCTTCTCCTCCCCGTCATCTGCCTGAGCAGCCAGAGCCAGACCCCTCGAACACAGCAGCAGCTCCTCTAGGTGGGCATGGGAGCCCGAAATGCAGCTGATGCACACCCATGTGGGGACACTTCTCCTGCCAACAGTGTGGGGCCCACCCAGGGTTTGTCCTGGCTCCCTACTAACCCCTTGGAGGGACAGGCTCGGTGTGTTACACCTCCTGGTGCATTACACCCACCCAGCATTCCCCCACAACCACGATGCTCTCAGGAAGAGCTTTCACATTTATCCCTTGGGGCAAGAACAAAGCTCCTGAATCGTGCACTTGTCCACCCTGGCTAGAGGATCAGCTTTGCCAGCATCTATGAAATTCATGGAAATAACATAATGAGAAAAACAATCAGTGCCCTGACAGGACCAGGGAAAATCCACGTATATTCTATGTATTTTCCAGCTTCTCTCCTCAGAATTGTTTTATCCACTGCAATCTCCCTGGGAGGCGGTGAGTGCATCTGACAGCCGCTCTGCCTTGTGAACGTTCTCCATGCAATGCTTCAAAATCAATACAAGTTAAAGAAAGCTTGTGATTTCAAAAATTACATTTAAATATTTAAAACCTGCACAAAGAAAAACAATTCTTAAACATTTCTATTAGATGACCTCAACTGCCAATGTACCCCCAGGGTTCTCCAAAGTATAAAATGAGTTTTTGCAATTTTCCCCATAAGGCTGTTTGACACAAGGGACCCTGTGCTGCCTGGCCGTGGCCTGGCAAAACTACCCCAACCGGTGAAAAAATAAATCGAAGGAATAAAATATTCACATAAAATGAGAACAAATAAATGTAGACAAACAGCTGACTTGAAGGAGTAGAAGAACATGCTGAACACCTTGTTTTTTCAAATTCACAAGTCATTTACAGCCTGTTCATCCCACTGAGAAAAAACAGTAAAATCAGCATCTCCTTTCCTCTTAGCCACAGCAACAGGACTGTAGGCATTAACAGACTCAGCATTATTTAATTCAAGAATTATTGGTAATATCTGTGACCAGTTTGCTCACTGCTGTATTGGTGCATTTGACTGGCTGTTTGTAAGCAAGCATCGCATGAAGCAGAAGCCAATTACCTTAGCTATAGAGTGATTGCACTGTGTTCCCGTTGGCATCTGGAGGAAACTCTGAAAATTAACTTTGCTCTGGCATATCTTAATTAGAGCAGTCTCTCTCAGCTCGCTTGTACAAAAGGAGTTTACGGCAAGTGGAAGAGCAGATGAAAGAGCAGTTTGCTCTCGTGAGAGAGAAACCGATGCAGTTTCTGCAGAACCAAGGCAATTAACCAAGAGGTAAAGCAAAGCCCCCACCCTAGGGTCGGCGTGCAGTCCTTCCTCCAGGACTGCTATGGACGTGGAAGCACAGCGAGAGCAGTTTGATGGATTTGGCCATGAACTCACCTACAACTTCTCTTGGGCCATTCATTCCAGGATACGTTTTTAAATAAATGTTTATATTTTCATAAATATGGTTGTTAAATTTTCCCCAGGCTCATTTCTAAGCAGGGTTAATTCCTCTTCTCCGGCACCAATCCGAGGTAAGGCAGGGCCCGGGCTGCACTGAGGCAGGCCCACCAGGGTCCTCCAAGGGTTGCTCCAATTGTCATTTCATCACTCCCTCACATCTCAAAGAGACACCATCCAGGTAACCCCCATGGTTAGCAGCTGTGCCAATGGCAAGAAATGACTGCTAGATAAGGAGGTTAACATTCACTTGAAATTGATGTAATTTACATTAAAAAAATAGGAGCAATAAGCACATTAATTGGTAATCAGCACAAATGTTAGCCTATTTTAGACCTCTCATAGCCCAGGAGCCCTGCCTGCAGGCACATAAGCAAGATTGCTCAGGCACTAAGGTGGATTTTTCCCCCCTCAGACACTCGGGAATGATTTGCTAACCAGAAAGGCAAGCACTGCTTAAATGTTATTGTGAAGGACCCAACGCCAGGCACCACGGCAGTTCTGGGGATGCTCCACTGGGACGTGGCTGCAATCTGCAATAAAAGAGGAAGGAAAACCACATTGATCTTTACCATAATTCACAGACCAATATTTCTACTTTTTCACATTACCCAGACGTGGAAACAAAAACTGTGGGTTTACCTGAGGTCAGACCGTAATCCAACAACTGTAATCTAACAATGTCTAATGAGAAGCTGGAGGTGGCTTGGGAGGCAGCTGGGAGGGAAAGGTGAAATCCCGCAGCTGCTGTTAAAATAAAAAATTCTCTTTGACCATCTCTTCCACTTAGTTCTGAAAACGCCGTTAAATTACTGCATTCCCTCTGAATTTACCAGGGAAAAAACATCCAAGAGCTGTGTTCCTGAACTTGTAACTGTCTTAATTGGTTAAATACTAATTATCTTCCAACTCTTCAGCATTTATCTGAGATACTGCAGCAATAAGAGTAATTAGCACACAATTGCTAGAATCTCTCTCAACAGTTCAGGCTGGCAATAAGGTGTTGATGGTGAGAAACGATCACTTCAAATGTTTAAAAAAAAAAAAAAAGCTGCCAGAAGAGATTTATTTATTTATTTTAAATTAAAAGAGAAAGCACACGATAACACCCAGCGTGTGCTTGCTGCTTGCAGGGCCAGTGAAGGTGCAGGAGCTCTTGGTGGCATTTGAAGATGCAGCATGAGGACCACAAAGCCACAAAAAGCTTCGGTTCAACATGGGCACTTGCATGTAGTTCAGCTCTGCTCCTGGGATTACCCAACACTTCTGATGGCAAAACCTCAGGCTCTCCAAAACTGCATTTCTGGGGGGACAACTCAGTCCTGTCTGGAGCCCAAAAGTGGGCTCCAGTGGGAGCCCACTGAACATTTCATGTTTTAAATGGACAACAGTTATTTTCTTCAGCTCCCATTAAAAGAAATGGTTACAGCTGGATTCCCATTCCCAGCAGAAAACAATTACTAAGTGGTTAAGGAGACTTTGGGAGCACCCTACAAAACTGGCAAGTCTCCCAGCTGAGAAAGGAGTCAGAAGAGCTACAAAACTGCCTTGCCACACTTCTTTCCAATTAAAAACTTATCATGAATCAAACTGGGGAAAGGGCTCTCAAGGCTAGAAAGGACACAGGCATACCTGGGATGTGTTTTAAAGCATGGAAATTTATTTTTTGAAATTCTCTGCAGATACTGGTGGTAGGGCTGCTGAGAACAATTCCTGTCTGCCTGCTCAATTTCTTCTTAATTCTTTAATAAAACCAACTACAAGAAAAAAGATTCTGAAGATCTCCTGATTTGTGCTTTGCTCCCTGGGGTACCCACAGCATGACAACACTTCTTATACAGGAAGGGACACCACCCGCTGGGGCACCTCAAGGGATTTCCTGATGCTCTGATGGCACAGTGTCTAATTGCTGATGTAACTATACACCAGGTTAATGAATTGGGAAGGTTTTCACATGACAGATCCTAAGTCGCTCTTTTTCTCCCCAAATATCTAAAGCATCATTCAGTACTGTCCCATTAGGCTCACTCCATCCCTACTTCTACCATCTTCAGTCACCTACAGAACTCACACACTACTTTGGCTAAATAGGTTTGGAATAGAACTATAGAACTTTTTTATTTAAAAAAAAAAAAAAACTTACTGAGAAAAACAGCAATCCCGTCATCCATCTTTTCTACAGATTTCTTCAAATACTCATTATTTTAAAAGAAAAGCCTTTCATAAGGATGACTTATGACATACCCACTTTCTTCAGGTTTTCCCTTTATCCTCCAAGTTGATTTCAAATTCTCCTCTCCTGACATTTCGTGCTATTAAGTAGTCATTTATTACCACTGTTGTGTTCCATATTTTGAAGGTATGAAACAAGTTTATCAATTACAATTATTGTGAGCATCCCTTTTGCTTTTTTCCTCAAAGGCATGTGTTAATTAAATCTAAGTATTGAAGAGACTGTGCCATATTTTCATAACCTTTGTGTCTTCGTATGCATAACAAGCACAATACTGATTTAAGTAGCCTTTTTTTTTCCCCTTCTTTAAGAAAGACAAAAGCAAATTCTATTAATCCTTAAGTATATTCACTTTCGGTAGTTTGAAGCACAGAACATCTTGAAATGAATTTAAACATCTCTCTGATCATCATTCAATAGCTCAGTCAGTTTCAGCTTGTTCAGAGCTTTATTTCTTCGGGTTTGTTTCACTTTAAGGTTAGACAAAGCCAGATTTTGTAAACGGGGGCTCTCAAGAAGAGAATAGCCCCCTGTAAATACATATGCTATACAAAAGGCATAAGTAGCTCCTGCAGGATGTCATCAGCAAGGCAAAGGTAGAGCTGAGCTCTGAAACCTCTCACTGCTCTCCCTCCACCTGCTGGGGCAGGAGGATGCTTCCTCCCACACCGCAGCCCTTCAGCTCAGCTGGTGTTAAAACAGGATCAGACAATAAGTTAATCATTTTCCTTTCACTAATGAGGTTTCATAATACATTTTCTTTGTTTTGAATAATTGAAACTGTCATTGCGGTAGGTCATCAGATATCCCATCCACCTCAGAAGTCTCCCTGTAACAGCCTCAAGCTCTATCTGTTGAAAAGTTAATCAAGCTGAAATGTCACGGAATTTAATAACTACCAAGGAAGAGTTTTTAAGTTCCAAATACCACTAATTATGTTATTTTCCAACAGGAAATAGGCTTTATGGTAATTGACCAACTATTGTTGTCAGTGACACTGGGCCATTTATTTCTGTTCATCCCAGTTTTGCTCTTTCCCCGGTCTGGGAACAGATCTAAACTGGGGCAGGCAGCTGCAGCGAGTGTAACTGCACACCCACGTGGCTCAGACCCGGTGCTTACCAGCTTCCTTGCTCTCCCAAACTCCCTTTTATTGAGAGACTTTATTTCCACAGCCCAAGTGTCCTGCAGCTGGAGTCTCGAAACTCTTGACTTGACAGCTGAGATGGATGACTAAGGGCAGCCACTGACATTTGAAAGTATTTGTAATAAAGACATTTGAATAAAATCAAGGCACAAGCACAAAGACAGACAGGCTGCAGTGTCTTTAAGGCAGCAGTGCTTATAGGATTGTGCGCTATCACACAATAACAGGCAGTAAGGGTTTCTGGCACCTTTAGGAAAACACTTCTAAATAAAAAAATAAGTGTTTCACCGGGAACATACTTTTGATAGCAACCAGCTATTCACAGACAAGTGTGAATCCCATGTGGCTTTGTGAATTTTAAATGACTCTATCTGATGTTAGGAGCAGAGACAGAGCCAACACTAAGCATGTGCAGGGTGGGTACAAAATATACGGCAAGAGAAGAACACAAAATCTATATCACATTGATTGGAGTTTGGGTGTTAAACACATTATTCTACAATGCAGAACAGCAAAGTTATTCCTTTCTGTTCTTAAAAGAAATAAAAACCTCTATGCAAAGCGTGGCATTCAGTTTAATTGCATACGGGTAGAGCGTTAGAATGCTGACTGCAGAAAAATAATAAACAGTATCCCATATGGCTATCAGCTTTTAATTCAGCAATAAATAAAACACAGAAGAGAAACTCAAAGGTAATAAACATTTTTCACCTGCACCCTTAGCATTTTACCACTGCATTACTGTACGTTCTGGACTGTTTGGTGTTCACTGACATAATGGCACAAGCCAACCTATTTTAATCTAGTGGAAATATGAAGGTTACTGGCTGGTCAGGGGGGTGGACAGGAAAGAGAAATGGGTGCTCTTGTGAACCCTCATGGGCTGACAAGGCACAGGCAGGCAGGACAAAATGTTTGAGCACTGTCTGTGTGGCTCCAGCAGCACAGTGGGCGGCATCACCCCTGCTCTGCTGGCTGCTCACAGCCCTGCTGCACCCGAACAGACACGCCACATGCAGCTTGCTTCTTTAGGCTGAGTGTTAATGAGATGTGGGCGTGACATGCAGCTGGATGTCCATCAGACACTTCACCGGGCATGCTGGTGCTTGCATGGAGCCGGTTTGACAGCAGAACATTGTCCCACGAGAGTTACAAAGTCCCAGTGGGAAATGCCCCAGGACAGCCTCCAGCCTCAGCACTGAGTGCAGGTATTTCCTAGCAGTACTTTTCTCAATTACTTTCAGCCCAGCTTTAAATGCAGGTCTCCAACAACATCCCCCAAGGCTCTATTTTGCAAAAGTTCAGCTTTTGCCTAAACCTTCCTTTTCTCCACCCCATTAAACATAGTTATATCCCTTTCACTCTAAATCTTCTTCACGGGGATTTTACCTCCTCCACCTTGTGTCTGTCACTAAGATCCAAATTTCACATGAACAGGCAGGAGGAATATCTATGAAGCGAGGAAAGTCACAGTGTCATGGAATTAGATTTACACAAATCTAATGTAGCAGTAATTAAAGATTTATTATACGCCTTTATAGGAAATAATAAGATCAGATTATGTGATTCTTAACAGCATTTAATCAGGATCTGAGTATTAGTCGATTAACACAATGAACCGAAGGAATTTGCTACAATACAAACGACAGCTTAGTTCCAGATTTGGGAATGGCAAGGTTCCCCCCAGGCTTACTGCAAGGTCCTGGGGGAGCTCTAACCCCAAACATGCACTTCCAAATCCCCCTTAAGGTGAATTACTCACCCTTCTGTCTCATCAGCGTTTGTCTGTGGTCAAGCTTGTTCCTCGAGGAGCCAGCCCTGAAAAGCTGGGGGAAATGGGGGGGTTCAGCCTGATGTGGTCCCTGGAGAGCTCAGGGAGTTTGTGCTTGGGGTCACTATTCATAGGAGGGCAATACCAGTGTCTCTTGGTCAGTAATCTTCTGGGATTCAGGTGTTTTGTATAGGAATCAAATTGCACAGTCCTGCCTACCCTTAGCACTCAATTGTGTCCTGCTGTGCCTCGAGGCCTGAGCCAGCAACCTTTGCAATCACCAACACCCCAACCAGGAAAGGGGAGTCAGCCCCCGTGAGTTTGTCAGGAACGAACTGATCCGGAACAGGAATCAGCCTGGTTTTCCCCTGTGACAGCCGGGCACGGGGCAGGCTGTGGCTCCGAACCTGTGCTGGTTGCACAGGGACCCCCTCCAAGCCCACAGGACCCTGTGGCCTCAGTGTCCCAGTTTATGGCTCTCTGTGACAGCTGCTCTGTTTTCACCAACCAATTCCCTGTTTATACTTTTATTTTTCTAAACTCTGTCTCCTTCTAGTTCTGTACCTGCACTGCTGCCTACCAGCTTCCTGAGCAGCATGCTAACAGCAGCATGCCCCGTACTCCCTCTCCCATACAATGAACCAGCTAAACAAGGGCTGGCAGCACCGTAGGGGTGGATATCTTCTCCCACATTGCTCATCCCTCAGCTCACAGCTCCACCTTTCCCCTCTTGCCGTCAGTTTTGGTTTCAAGTGACAGTGCTCCGGTCCCAGGCGGGTGCAGGGGCTGTGCAGGGACACGTGTGATATGCCAGCAGCATCTAAATCCCTCCTGTGTCAGCAACCAGTTACCAGACTTGTCAGCTTGTTTGTTTTAGAGCAGTGGAAATTGATTTCACCGTGTTTCACCACAAAGAGAGGGAAAAGGCCAATGTATCCACGTGAATCTATTCTGCAAACTGCTGCCAATGAGGACAACTCACCTCTCACCTGTCCCACTACCAAATCTTAATTCTCCTGTGATGTTTGCTAGTTTTTTTATCCTCCTTTCCTAAACTTATGGTATTTTCTCTTTGCTGTGTCATGTACACCAAGTGAGAATTTAAAGTGTCCACGTCTGTATTTTGCCAAAGCCTGAACTTTCTGTGGAGACAGTTCAGGGAGGTGGAACAGAAAAAAGCCTCAACCCCCCTGCCTGGAATTCAGCACAGGAATCGAGCTTGGCCTCAAATTCCCACCAAGAGCTGGAAAACACAGGTATGACTTCAGAAATACTCCTAGCTTGGAGCAAAGCCAGCCAGGAGCAAAGGAGAAAGGAAATTTCCTCACGTGTTTCTATCAGCTGTGACAACAAAGAACAATGACTGTTCAATACACAAGTCCGAGGGTGTGCCTCGGTCCTGCTGACAGCTTTGCTCCTTTTCATTTAAAAAGGGAAAAAGAAAACAGCAAAGGTGAGACCAGGGGAGCAGGTTTAGGTGAATCTGCATTTATCCAATCACTCCAAGCGCTGCTTCAGCTGAGGGGGATGCCACAGCTGGGCAAACCCATGTCCTCTCAGCCCCATTTCTTGTCTTTTCAACATATGATGGAAAACAAGTGCATCTGAGGTACCTCAGAGCAACACAGGGAGAATATTTCTTGATGTCTTAGGAGCTGCCAACATTTTCAAGGGGTTTTCTATACTTTAAATGCACCTGGCAGTATAGGATTATTTATTTATTTTAATTGGGAATACCAGCTCAAGAAACAACAGCAAAGAGAGCTCTACAACTTACTCGGTAGTGAATGAGAAATCTCCCCCTGTGCGCTGGCTGAAGATCACTGTACTTTCACCCACTGCTGTGGGGGAACACATCCGACACAACTCCAAATGCCAACTAAGGCCCCTTCCTTCTCACAGCTCCCAGCAATAACTTTTCACTCCTAAGCAATTTACAGAGTTGCTTAACTTTGGCAGAAAGCAGTGTTGCAGCCATGCTTCCATGGAAATCCATGCTGATACAGTTATTTCTCTGAAGGAAATTATCGCCCTTCTCCTTTGGAGTTTATCAGATATTATCCTAAGCACAAAAGGAATTCTTAATGAACGGATTATGAACATTCTGAGAAACTTCATGAAATAATTTGCAAAACAAATGAAACAATCTGTTAGCAAAGAATGAAAGGATTTGGGGGGAGAAAAAGAAAAAAGGATAAGTTTGTTATTTCCTGTAATAAACTCATTAACTTATATTCAAATTAGCTACAACACTGGGAATCTCAGCAAGTGTTGATTGCCAAAATTCCCAGGGCTGTTGCTAATTCATCAAAAAGGCTGAAAAGCTTTATTTTTTATAGATATGGAATTGCTGAACTAGAGCAAATAAACAAGCCATTGTGGATTATAACACATATATACACACACATGTTTTGACACACTTCTGGGGCTGACAAATAATTAAAGCTGCTGCCCAATGTGTATGCAACACAAACCCTGTTAATATTAAAGGTGTGTGCCTATAGCAGCACTTCCCCTGCAGGTCAGGTCACTGCCAGCACGATGCCAATGGCCAATATTCTCCAGCCATACCTCTGCTTCGCAGGACTTTCCCCAATTTTTTGACTTCTGGCATTTTTTGTTTCTCCCCTGGATTTTCTGGATGACAACGGGAGCCACCAGCAGCAAGCTGATGGCAAGGACTGGGAATTTAGAGAAAGCGATGGACAACTGGCACCTGCAAAGAAGAGGCACTGAGGGAAACTGAGGAGCCCAGCCAGGCGTGCACTGAGCCATGTGGCTGGGGGACACAGCAGCCTTGTGCTGAAGGCGTCCCACCACATTTACATTTTATTTACATTATGCTGTAAAGTAAAAAAAAAAATGTTTGTACACGGTTATTATTCCCTTTACACAGTGTCTGCCAGGAGACTATAAATCCAACATTTATCTGGGAAAATTGCTGTAAATGGAAATTAACAAAATCCTCAATCTTCATAATCAGGGCAACTTCATGCCCAGGAATCCCAGGTGGCTTTTTAAGAGGAAAGGGTGAATCTTTATGTTTGCAGAGAGCAAGCAGTAGGAGTATCACTGCTCTAAAAACATTTAAGCTGCAGACAAGCATTTCTTCAGATACTTTAGGCTCAGATTTACCATAAATTTCAAGGTCGCCAAGTCTTATTATTCCTTCTGTGCCCTATTACGTCTGCTAAGCTGGCACCTGTAAAAGTGCAGAAGCATCAGCACCAAGGCCAAGGGACTCAGCAGCTCTCTTCCAGGGTCCAAATTGCTGTAAAACTGCGTGCACCAAGCTAACACAGGCTCTGGCATTTTTATAGACTGAGGTAGACAGAAGAATATCTGAAAATCAAAACCAAAATAAAATCTCTGACCTTTCTGCACAGGGTGGGGCTGGGGCTGTGCATAGGAGGGTGCTGGGTGCAGGAAGCTTTCCCTTCGTGTCTGACTGGGGTGTGAACGAAGCCAAAGGAATAGCACTGCACCAGCACAGGAAAGAGCAGCAGCAGGTCTGTGTTGAACTTAACTGAAAATGTTTTCTTCCATTATTATTTCCTATTTTTCCTCCATCGTTTCTCTTGTTGATGGGTGAAGGAGGAGGCTGTGCTGTGCCGGGTACAGGACCCTCCCGATCAGGGTTCCACTTCTGCAGGATGACCCAGCGCAGTGCGAGCACAGTGATGGCACAAAACTGATTTAGAGAGCACTTTTGGAAGCTGAAAGCACTGAAGAAAAACAGTGTATAACACTGAAAACTGCGTGTTGAGGCTGGTGCAGGCAAGCCTGTAGTGAGAGGAGGTTAGCTGGCACTGAGCTGCTCCCAATAACCTTCTCCTCGTGCTCCCTGCTCATAACGCCATCAGACTGCTCCTCCACCCCACCATGGGCACTGCTGGTAAGAACAACAGGGATCCAAGAGGTGCTGAAAACACTCCTTGCTTTTCTTCATCTCCATTTTCACTCCAACACAACCACCAAGACCACACGGTGTGCTCTGATGGCCCAGCACAGCCGGGAAGTCACCGGCTGAGGACGGCCACATCAGGGTGACCACCAGCATCCCCCAGCACTCAGGGACCCGAGGACACCAAGAGCTGCATGACAGCATCACCTTGTAATTCACAGCCTCCTGAGTACCTGCACCACGGCCTTGTAGGAAAGTGACCCTTTTTTTGCCCAAACAGCTTTCACATAACAGTGGTGTTTATTCAGGACACCAGAAGGGCTGCTGAGATGCCACCAGCCTTGTGCTACAGACTGCACGGTGTGGAAATATTACCTGACGGAGCAAGGGAGAGAGTCCTGGGCTGCCAAGTGGAGACTCAGAGACCCTCAGACAATTACGAGCAGCCAAAAGGGATCTTTGTTTACTAAAAGAGGAGAGATTTGAACGCAAGTCTAAAATTTCAGTGAATTTTTGGCTGTTGCTTCTTTGCTCTTCTGCATATTTTTCATGTATATTTTATGAACTTCATTAGAATTTCAGGGAGATTTTCTCCAGTCTGATGTGAAATATTCCATGCTTGGTTTTATGTAGTGGTATGAAAACTTAAGAATGAAGACCATGGTTTTATGTATAAAAACTGCATTTTTTAATGGAACTTTTCTAAGAAGTGACACATTTACTCTCATGGATTTTTTTAATATATTTTTTTTAATTTTATTTTTCATTCTGAGATGTTTTAATGCCCTCTTTAACATGCAGTGGTATCATTATGATGTGTCATTTTTTTCCTTCATAAAATGCACAATGCTGCAAGGAAGATGCAGTTATTAATTATAACTTCTATTGGAAGAGTGGATGCTTTTAAAAATATTTTCTTCAATCATATCAATATTTTCATGAAAATCTTTGAAAGTATCTTGGAATATTTCATCACTACTTTAGTGCATTAAATGCAAAGGCAGCATTTTCATCTGGAGGGGGAGGAATTATCACGGGTTCAAGGAATTGCCTTACAAATGGATGTCCCAACATCCAGCTCAGACAAGGAGACTGTCCATCCCAAAACAGCAGTGATGTGCCAACAAGCTGGCATTAAGTCAGCATGTGTAACTACTTCTATTCCTGCCTGATCAACTGTAATTTGGTGTTTAACATTCTAGATCACAAAAAGACTCTGAGAGGGGAGGACAAATCCAAC